GGACTCTTACACCATGCCACTACACTAAGGGGTCGAGAGGAGCAGGTGGGGCCCCCTAATCACAGCCATCGTCATCACCTCCTTGGCCCTTGATCTCAGCACTTCTCACTTTCGCTCCAAGTCACTCCTTGGCAGGGAGCCAATTTAAAGAATATCAGAGAGATTAATGACTGTCCAAACCCATGGCTGACTCCACTTAGGAGGAGGGAGGGCGGTGTGAGGCCCAGCAGGTTAGGACACAGTGATCGGTAGGTCGCTGGTTCAAATCCCAGGGTTGGCAGAGTGGCTTCACCATTAGGCCCCTGATCAAGGCCCTTAACCCCCAATTGCTCCTGGAACTGTCTGACCCTGCCTTCTCAAAACTGTGTGTCACTTTGAACAAAAGCATCTGCTACATAAATAAGATGTAACTTACACCACGCTCCCCCCGGTCCTTACAGACAGACAGAAAAAGAACAACCCGTTTTATATATATATAATGTAAATTAATCATTCATTCCACCTGATGATGACAGAATAAGGATGGAGAAGCAGGAAAGTTTTCCGACGTCTGAGTGAAATTCGGGACGGTTTCAGGACCACTTGAGGGACAGGGTTTCGGCTGGGGGGGGGGGGGACGACAGCTGGCTAAACTGATCCATGTTTCTCCTCAGCAACATCTGAAAAAGGTCCTCTTCCTTCCACATCTCCCAGCGGCGACGTCTCTGGACACGGCGAAGCTTAATGCGGCTCTAATCTCTCCGAGGTGGTGGCTTCACCTCCCCGTTCCCTGAATTTGCTATCAGCCCCCAGCAGACAGGAAGCAGGAATTCATATTTTTACTCCAAAACTGGACATGAGCTGCAGTGAAACAAAATTTTACTGGTGTCCAATCTGTGGAACAGAAAACCAACAGGACACCAGACAAACCAGGCAGAAGATTCTGAAACCTGGGGGGGGGGGCACTCTAGGGGGACGTGGCAGGAGTGGTAGACATCCCAGGGCCACCCCCCACCTCAACCCCCCATCCGCCAGGTCTCCACCAGTCAAAAATGAGAGTCAGACATGCGATCTTGTTCTCCCAAGAAAAGGGGGTGCTTAGAAGTCACAAAGCTCCCACCCCCCCGCCCGGCCCAGTCCGGCCCGTTCCGGCAGCGGGCCCAGCGCTGTTCTCCGCTGGCGTGCTGTGATGGATCTCTCCCTTTAGAGGTTTCTGCTGGAGTCATTAAGGGTCTGTGAGATGGAGAGCAGGGGGGCAGTGTAAATCGATGGCCGATGGAACGTACCCAGTGCCAAAGCCACCCCCCCACGCCAAGGAGAATGTTTTCCTCGTATACAGCAAAATAATGGACTATTTGTAATCAGTCCAACGCAGTGCCTGCATACATGATGGCAAATAAGTGGAATAAAATGCAATAAGCTACTTATTTCCCTCAAATAAATTTGTTTGCCATTCTTTTAAATGGGAGTTTCATAAAGAGCCACCCCCAGCAGGGGGCGCCGCTGTAATTAAAGCCCCAAGATGCCAGGAGTCATGCGTGACTGCTATCCCAGAAGAGAGGCACAAGCACACCCCAAACGTGCCACCGTACACTTTACAGCCTTGGCAAGTTCAGCCCCAATTAAACAACTGACCCGTCCCTGATCTGAGATTGAATGGTGCCCCAGCTTAGCGGCAAACAAATCTGAAAGGTTTTCGTCATGTGGCCAGAGGAGGGGCGGAGTTTGTGATGGAGGCGCTTTCCTTAAAAATCACAGATTATGCTCTTTTTGCTCGTTCCCGTCCCACATGGGGCACGACCCGAGCCAACAGACCGGCATGCTGCTCCGCCCCCCCCCTCCGCGCTCACACACATCTCCCCCCTGACATATGCATGTTTCTCACCATCCCTTCAAATTAATTTTTACCTCCTGCTCCCCCCACTGTACATTTGGGCCTCTTTCATTAGCGGCTCCCTGGGCTCCACTCAGCCCCGGCCATTGGCTGGCCCAAGGAGAGCAGGACCCCCCACCCTTAGCTAATCACACTTTCCGCTTTCAATTCAATTCAATTCAATTCAATTAATTTTTATATAGCGCCTTTCACAATGGAGTCACTCCTTGGTGTTTGTGTTGTCGTACATTACAACGTCATTAAGATAGAATAATAAAGAAACAGGGAGAAGGGAAGACAAAGAAATGAAAGAAAGAAAGCCAGATGGCAAAGGAGGAGAGGAACCAAACACTCCTGAGTAGAAAAAAAACCCTTTGGGGGCCCGAGATCCCCTGGCCAGCCCACCCCCTCACCCCCTCACCCCCTCACCCCCAACTGCCAGCTATGTTAACATCATAGAACAGAAGAAAGTAGCTTCACCTTTGCCCTTAAGAAGCTCAGCCCCTATTGTGAGGGGATGCGTTTGACACCCCAGTGCTGGACTCCAGAAAGATGACTATGGGGGGGGTCGCGGGGGGGCAGGATCAGGTGATGATTCATCCACCTGTAGCCAGTTTCTAATGACACAAAACGAGCTGCTGTCTGTGTGCGAGATGGACAATGTGACCTCCTTTTGGCAACCTGATGTCCATCCGGATCTCACCACCTTCACCCCCCCCAAGGCAGTGAAAGAGCAGTCCAAGGCCCCCGCTCTCTCACCTGACATGAGTAAGAACATAACATAATTTGTGCTTCTAATGGCACCGACTCCTATTTCTCTGACACGGTTTTATCAATAATCCCGGGGGTGGGGGTTGGGGGGGGGGACAGCCCGGTGGCATTTATTCACTCCCGGACGAGCACGCTAACTAGCCGGCCGCTACCGAGACACGCTGCGTGCCAGATAATAGGCGGGGGGGTTGATAGGTTCATTCGTAAGACACTCAAGCAACGTCGCCTCACCCCCCCCCCCCATGTTTTTCCTCATCCCTTTTTCTCTCTCGCTCCCTCTCTCCATCTGCCAGGAAATTATTTAAATGGGAGTGTGGGGCATAGGAGTCACTCACGCTGGAGCAGGGTTCACAGATAACGGGACAGGAGAGCCCCACCCCCCTCCCTCGCTCACTCCCTCCCCGATCCCACTGATGCCAGTCTTCCTTCAAAAACCCTGATCTTTTCAATAGCTAGAAACTCCCCAGGACTAACCTGAAAATACCATCCATGCATCCATGCAAGGACATCTGCCGTGCCTTATGACCACCTTTCTGTCGTACCAATGACATAAGGAATGAAGATTTGCGAAGGGCAGCTCTCACAGTCACTCAAAGCACAGAGCTCATGTCCTCACAGTCATTCAAAGCACAGAGCTCATGTCCTCACGGTCACTCAAAGCACAGAGCTCATGTCCTCACGGTCACTCAAAGCACAGAGCTCATGTCCTCACGGTCACTCAAAGCACAGAGCTCATGTCCTCATGGT